AAATACTAATCTTTTCTTTAGGTCTTTTTTTTCAATCTATTCTTCTACTAATTCTTTGTTTTCTCTTATTTTCTTTTTGTCTTCCTCAATCTAGAATTACACTATATTAAATTAGGATTGGAACTCTTTTATTACATTAACAGTTTGGTCATGTGACTTATATTAAGTGATTAATTTGTGGTTTTAATGATTTATAAACAAATGATTATGTTAAAAATAGGATTAACAATACTTTATTAATTTGTATAGAGCAATATTTTTACTTTTATTAGAGGTCAGATAATTCATTATATGCAATATATTTTTATTTGGTTCTAAGGGATCTTTTGTTCTCAAGGCAAAAATACTTTTTATTTATAATAAACATTTTATTTACATTAGTAATTAATTTCTAAAATAAATGTAATATTCTTTATATCTTAATTATATTTGATAAAAGACCATATCTCATTTATCTTATAAGTAACAGAAATAACATAAGTAATGAAAGTAATGGAAGTAATATAAGTAATGAAAGTAACAGAAATAACAGAAGTAACATTTCCGTTACTTTTTACATGACTTCGAATCGGGTAGGGATTGTTGTTTCGATTCAGGCCCTTGTGATTCCCAAAAAATCGGGCTTACAAAATGCATATGCATTCATGCAATGCTTAATCAACATATGCAGTATTTCATTCTTCAACATGGCTCAGTTTTTTTCAAAGTCTTAGAGAATTTAAACTTTTAGAGAGCTTGGACTTCGTCTTTCTCCAGGGTTTTACCATTTGTCAGAGGTTTCACTATTTGCAAGGGGTTTCACTATTTGCAAGGGGTTTCACTATTTGCAAGGGGTTTCGCCATTCAACGAGGTTTCGCCATTCTCCAAGGGTTTTACTATTCACTGGAGTTTTGCCAATTTTGTGTTTTGCTATTAGTGAAAAACAGTTTTGCCTAACAACTATATATCAGACACTGCAATACTATTGGGGTTAATCTGCACTTCTACAACGTACAGTTAACTTAGATTGTAAAATTAATTTTTATTAGCCATTATCCATTTGGCACAATAATGTGATGAATCATTGGGTGTGGATAATAAGCATTATTTAATATAGTCATTTAGCTAATGTTTACTCGTCGCATCCTTATGTCAAATGAAAGAGGAGACCTAATTCTTTACAAGTAACCCCTATTTTAATGTTTATGGTTAGGGCAAGTGCGAGCATTGTTCTTTTTTCGTGAGAGGTTATAGGAAATTAGCTTTTTCTCGAAAGATTTTTTCTTTTACAAATCGTATGTATTATCATGATTTCCATCAATTTGTGTTCACATCGTACTAATTAACTATACATCCTTAATTTTAATGTGGTGTTTGATTAAGCATTAGATTAATTATTAAGTAAATATCATCTGTTTAGTTAATTACGGTTGGTATTGTCTAAATGCGCAGAAACCATGGACAGGTATTTAAGCAATATATGCAACTAGAAATACTATGTATTAAAATTTTTGTATAATATAAAACCATTCAATTAAATTTATTTATAGTCTGAAGCATAATGGAGGACACTCTACTTCGACATTTTATGCAATTGCCTGATAGTAATATCCTATCAAAGTTTCTGATTTGGCTACACTACATATTTCAGCATATTTACAAAAATAAACTATCTACTGGCCAGATAAATCAACTAAGTAATAAAAAATCAGCCACCTTAGCTACATTTAGCAGTTTATAATATCCTAGTCATACTACATGATAAATTAACCAATCAAAATTTTTTTTATTATTCTTTAAATACAAATTTAATTATTTTTATGCATTATGCAATTAAAGAAAGTATTCATTTATCATTAGGAATTAGATGCATTATGCAATTAAAGAAATTATGCATTTATTATTAGAAACCAGATGCATTATTGCAATTAAAAAAATTATGCATTTATCAGGTCGGTTGACAGAAATTGTATACAGTTAAGCAGTATATATAATTAACAGCACGCATTTTGACAGTACCAACTGTATTTATTATTTAAATACCAGTTACATAATATGTCACATGTAAAAAATTTTAATAGTAGTTCAAATGATTGATGCATCCAAATTTTATAAGTAAAATTTGTACAAAATTTGCTTTCTGGGATTAGTTAACCAAAAAGAAGCTGTCAGTTTAATTTCCGGGTATAAGTTCATAAATTCTTTAACATTATAAGGTTCTTCCTGTGAAATTTCAGGGGTGGTTAAAAATAAATCCTTAAATAATCTTGTCCACGAAGTTGGCTAATTTTTTTACGATTTTTACCGTACCAGGAACGGTGTATTAAGTACATAGGGTATGGTTTACGAGCGAGTGAAATGATGTGTGCGATTCTTGACATATGATTGGGTGATCCGTCATTGTGACTTTTGGTAACACCTCAAACTTTACTTTAAAAGGTATGTACCATTCTGTATGCTAAATCTTGTACGTAATGAGTTTGTCCGCGTGGCTTATTCATCATTCGATGTTTAATGTTTGTTTTTTTTGTGTACAAATGCAACCTTACGTGTTTATTATGTGGCTTTGGTTTTTTATGTGTACGATTCTTAACTCGATTTTTTCCAGTTTAATTTACGCCCCTAGTTTTATTGCCTATTTTTGGGAATACCAGGAACGGAGTTTGTACAATGTACAATGTAGAGTATGGTTTAAGACATCTGAAATGATGTGTCTCTTTTTTATCCGATTGGTTTTGTGATTTCTATATTTTTACCTACATGATAAAAAAAAAAAAATGCGAATTAGATGTTTGTGATCAGATAATTAGATTATTAAATAACGATAATATTAATTTCTGACCATATCGTTATATCGTATGGAAGTAAAGTGGTTAGTACTGAGATGTCTGCATAATTTAATATATTTTTATGAAAGTTAAATACGATGTTTAATAACTTATACAAATGTTATTTCAAAAAAAAAGATCAGTCTTAATCCTATTGGATAAATTATAATAATTCTTAAATTAATTAGAATTGTACTACAGTTAAAACTCTTTAAGTAACTTTTATAAAGACTTAACTTTTATAAGAGACGCTTGGAGAATAATAAAAAAGCGCACTTATGAAGATAAAGTATATATTTGAGCTAGGATTTAAGACTGTATTCGTTCATTTTAGCTATTGTAAGTTCAATATTTCAAAGGTATGTATTTTTCACATGTGCACTTAAGAATTGAACCATCAAGTGCTTGATTCTCTGCTTTTTACACTTAGGTTTAATCGCAAATCACTGTACAGCGTAGACCAAAAAGCCCCTTTTATAATACTCCTCACAATTTTTGGAGGCCTAGAATATAAAGTGCCTCAGATACTAAGGACGGATTAATCGCATTTGTGAATGTAAAATACCCGGCTACTTAACAAATCAATTATGTAAATATGATGGGATTAATATAGTATAAATAATTTATTTTAAATACACCCATTGACAAATGTTTATTATATCTATCAGTTACATGAAATAAAATAACAACAAAAGTAAATAATTTATTTTAAAAAAATTACATACATGCAAGGATGCTACATCTATACCATACTAATACTAATCTATCTGAACTGCATATAAAGTCCACCTAAATAACATAGTTAGTATTCGACCTACTGCACATATAATCTAATCTAAATTTGCAAATAAAACTTATAAAAGTTAAGCAAACAAAAAACTTATGACGAAAGCAGTTTCATCGGAAACTCGCTCTGAAAATCCACCTTCCGTTCCTGGTTTTGCGTGACAACGTCGCGCAGCTACTTATTTGTTATAAGTGATGCAGGAGAAGTAAACACCAATTTAGTATACGTTTCAAATTACTTATTTGGGGTCCCTTAAAGCGGGGCAGATTTCATATATTGATCTACATACTGCATAAATTGTATTCTTGATATCTAAATAACCTAACTGTATCAAAAGGTAACTCAAAATACATCAAAAACGTAACTTTTTTTAACCTGGCTTTAAGGACACCTTATTTTGGAATAAATGATGTACATCACCTGCATCAAACGGTAAAAATCGTAAAAAAATTGAACAAGATTATTTAAGGGTTTATTTTTAACCACCCTTGAAATTTCACAGGAAGAACCTTATAATGTTAAAGAAGTTATGAACTTATACTCGGAAATTAAACTGACAGCTTCCTTTTGGTTAGATAATCCCAAAAAGCAAAATTTATACAAATTTTACTTATAAAATTTGGATGCGTCAATCATTTGACCTCATATTAAAAAAATTTACCCCATGATCCGTGTGACAAATCGTGTGACTGATACCTAATTTAACCAAGTAGTAACAGTAATAGCGAAAGACCTCATTACTAAATTTATACGGACAAACCAGATAATCAATCTCTATTATCGTTATAAATTTTTTTATGCATTTGTATTAATTATTGCTTTATATTAAACCAATAAAACAGCTTTAATTCTTTAATTAAATATAATGCGATGACTAAAAATTATATAAGTGGTACTATATGCAATGCTCTAAAGTATTTGAGTGCGCCTAAGGGAAAACCTGTCATCGGACATTCAATTATATTTCGTGTACAATTAGCCGTCTGTAGAAAATCTATCATCATGAGAGATTTTCCTTGGACGGATAACTGTACACGAAATATAATTGAATGTCTGATAACAGGTTTTCCCTTGGGCACATTCATTTCTGGGAAATAATAACATCCAATCAAGAAACTTATCAGTTATTGAGTTATATAACACGCATAATAATCAACAACATTCAATCAAGAAACTTATCAGCTATTGAGTTATATAACACGCATAACATTATATTGCATGATCTGCGAGCTTTAATGACTGAACAGATAAATTTCATAAGAGCGTGTACGTACGTGCGTATATAAATTTGTAATATGCTCAAGCCATTTAAATTAACTAAATTTTTCTATATAAACAGAAAGTGCTAAAATTTTAATTTTGAAATTTTAATAACTTTTTTTAAAAAAAAAACAATTTAATCAATATGAATCTCCAAACTTTTAACCTTTTTCTAATTGTTCTCTCAATTTTACTTGCTTCATCTATTACTGTTGATGCTCGTTATATTAACAAACATATTAACAAATATGATAATAAACATGCTATTGTGCCCACAAAACCCAAATGCTCAACATCAACTCCAACTCCAACTCCAACTCCAACTTGTTGTCAATCACCTGGCGGCCCAGGGTGGAATAACATGATTATTGTTGGTTCATATAATTCGGTTGATACTATTTCTAATGCGGCAGATTGTTGTCTTAATTGTACTATAAATCCGAGTTGCCTTGCATGGAACTTTGATCAAAATGAATGTTTTCAGATCACCTCCGATAGAGGTGGTTCTTGTTCAACAAAACTAAACTCCGTCGAAGTAGGTGGTACTGTTCGTTGTGGTGCTGTCAGTCAATGTTAATTTAAGGCACTTTTCAAATTACTGTGACCATCAAATTTCATAAATCACACATCACTGGTAATCTGGAAATCTGGAATTTAAAGTTTAAAATGATATAAGCCTGTGATCGGATAAAATTATATCAGTTAATTTTTATGCCCAATTCTAATATTAAAATATAATAATGGATATATTTTTTCTACTTAATTCTAATATTAAAAAGGTCAATATTAGCTTGATCAGTTTTGATGTTTAGTTTCTACTAGTTTTTAGAATTTGAAAAATAGATATTGTACTTTAATCTAAAGTTTGTAAAATTTAAATAAAGAAACTTTATTTTTGCCTAGTCAACAAACTAACTATATGATATAATAAACAAATAGATGTTATGCCACTGTAGAAAACCGTTATACACTGAGTAATCTTCAGAATTTTTATCTTTAAGTAGTGTCACAGGCTGATCGGTTGGGAATAAGGATGGCTCCGAAACTTTAGGTACCTACCGAAATCGAAAGTTTACCGAAAGTACTTTCGAACAGGGTTTGGTTTACCGAAATATTCGAAAGTCGAAAGTCTCAATTTTCGAACATATCACGTGATGTAGACTTCGACAAAGGCCAATCATATCTTAATACTGATACTTTTGATTTTACAGCTGTTATCATTATTCCTGGGACACCTTATGAAAAATTAACCGAATGGTTATTCTGACGATACGATAAATTATTAATTTCGGTATTATCAATATAATGTTTATTATTTACGAAGTTAGTCTAAACTCTGGTACATACGAAGGTGCTAATCGATTTATAAATTAAAACTTACCTGAAACTACAAGGCTTTAAATGATCTCTACTTTCACGTTCTAACTAGGATCGGTCACGGTCGGTCATTATCGGTCATGAGTCATGACCGAACCGACCCGCGGTCATGACCAATGAGTAATTTAAAATTTAATATCTAGCATTATTTAATTAATATTATTTATTTAAGTTACCGCATTCTACCGTAATAAGCACTGTCCCCTCTACCTATTTTATTAAATGTCAGATTATCTCATTGTGATTTCCGCTAATCTGATATTCTAAAAAATGAGGTAGAGGAAATGGTGCTTATTTACGATAGAATACGATAAAGCTTTTTTGATTTAGAGTTAATAAGCTAATGCGGAATAAATTTATATTTAAATTATATAATCTGTAATAATATAATATATAGTTAATAATGTAATATTTTTTATAGAATAAATTTAATTTAATAATAGAGATTGAAAAAAAATATAAATCTAATAACAAGGATAAAGGATACATTGAGGGAGTTGAATTTATGAAGCGTAGTTATGTTGATGAGCATAAAGTAGTTGAATTTGTATAATTTGTATGATTTCTATTGAAGTAGATGGTGACTACAGTCTGGATATGTAGATAATTTTGATAAGGTTATATATAAATGTTAGTAAGCAACCTTGTAAATTAGCTAATCAAATTACAAAAAAGTTGTTGGGATTAAATATACATGTTACAAGATGAGGTGAAAGTGTTAATTAATCCGTTATACTCACTGCATTTTATAGAAAGTTAAACTACTTGAGCTTTCTAATGGGTGTATTTTATTATGTGTAAAAAATCATTTATCATTTGTGTAGCAATATCGGAATTATCTACATATTTGGACAGTCATTTCTGTAAATGGTGATAGTTCATGAAATAATGAATTAGTAGAAATAAAGTGTAATCATGTTATTTTCAAGTTGTTTATTGTGCCTTTCGAATTACTGTATCTAGCAAATTCTATATATTATTCCTGAAATCAGAATTATAAATGAATATATAATAATTATTTATGACAAATTGCAGACTTGCATTGTTTCTAGAATTCTGTTTTCTGGTGTGATAAATAGAATTTGCTGATAAAATTATTTAAATTTTAATCTGTATATGATTTTATGATTTAGTGTTGATTAGTTATTTAAATTATGTAAATTTTTATAATGTGGTATTTAGAGTTTGGAATCAGTTTTATTTTTCTTATGTTAAATCTGATTAAAACCAGTTTTAACATAAGAAAAATAAAACTGGTTCCAAACATAATGATATTAATTAGTTGTTGATTAGTTATTAATTTTTAATAGCTTGTCAATGAAATGACAAAGTGTTCATTATTGTGAGATCAGATGATTTTATTGCAAATTTGTTTTTGTTTATGTTCTATTGTAAGTTAGTCTAATATTTTTTATTAGAGTTTTTGTTAGATACAGGCTTATGACGATGCTAGGTTTATGATTGCATATGATTAATTATTGTTTAAGTTACTATGAATATTAGCAAAAGAGTAGTAATTATCAGGCCCAGGGGTTTGAGGAAAGGTATATGCATATGAATGGTAAGGGAAGGAGAGGGTATTATAAGGATGACAGTTTAAGAGATAATAGTCATCTTTTGTTTCATTATCGGTCACCTTAGGAAAGGTTGGCTCATTCATCCCACCTGCTTCCTCAAATAGTAAGTGGCTCAGTGGCTATGCACAGTACAATGATCACAGAATTGGGCCTTAGTTTATTTTATGAGAATGAGACTCCATGGCTGCCTTAGCTGTGCAAAGACCTTCAATTGTTTTTGGCAATACAGCTGTAATGACAGTGCAAGGATCATAAAAAAGTTTATAGCTACATATGAAGAGGTACATATCAGTTAACACTTAATTTTCTTTTTAACTATACAAATATCACTTATTACTCTGATAAAATTGTTTAGCATTGTTTTGAAAAGATAGTTTATTGAGCAGGATAGTTGTTTGGTCTGGGATGTCAGAATAGTACAGAAGTGAGAAGAAATTTAGAGGTAAGGACTATGATAGTTAGTTTGTTTAAGATTGGCCATTAAGAAGTGCACAGGTCACTTCTTTGTAAGGATAGAATAGACTTGATAGCAAATCTATTCCTATATGTTTTTTTTTTGAATAACAATAAAGTTTCTGATTGAACAATATTAATATGATCTGTTGATTAGTTGTCTAATAGAGTATATATAAATATGAGATTATGCATTAAGATTTTTTTATTTTTGTCAATATATTACAAATTGAAGTAGTTGTTTGATTTGAACTTAAATCACATTTGGAGAGAATAGAATTGTTACTGGATATAATGTATAATAAATTATTTTCTTATTTTTGGGTTTATTTTAATTTATCAGTCAGATTTAAAATATTTTTAATTCAGAAAAGTATTTATTTTCATTAAATTTTAATTATTTATTTTTTTTCTTGTGAATTGTAAATCTATATTATTTGAATATTTTAAAACTAATACTAATAAACTAATTACATATGACTAGTTGTCATGAATTAATGATTATTATTTTGCCTTCAAGAATAAAGTACAGTAATTGTGACACTCTTTATATATTGACATATACAATAAACACAGTAATCTTAACAATGTTCATTTGTTAGTAATTGTGATGATGTTTATTTATTTACACATATAATAATTGGTTAGTATAAACAAATAATTTTGGTTTATTAATGGCATCAATACATAATTTAAAAGACATGCAATAAATTCTAAAAAATTCAACAATATTAACATCACAGAGTAAATTATCATGAATTATTTATTTTTAAAATAAAATAATGTGAAAATTTTTATTAATTGACATATAACATAATTTATTAATGACATTTCATAGTCTGTTTTATTAACAAAACACATACAAAAATAAAATATGTTTTTAAAATGAAAATAACAATAAGTTTTGTTAGCAAAATAATGTATACTAAATACAATAACAATATAATAGTTCTCAATTGACAAAAGATACTTTTCAATTTTTAGCATATCTGTAATCTGTAACAGGTTAAGCCACTAATTTCAATCCCTGTCTGATTATATTTCCAGAATAAGACTTGATTATCATAAATTATTAAAAAAAAAAACATAAATTCAAAAATTGCCTTTGGATATTAATAAATATTATAGCTACTTTTTAAGCAAAGCAAATGATATGTCATTTCTTTAATCATACTATTGTTCAACACATTACTTACTTAATAGATACTTTTTTTACTCAATTCTACCTCTTTCGAATGAAGATAACTCAAAGAACTAAATTCCATATCATTTATTCGCAAACTCATATTTTTGCAGTACTTTGATTAAACAGTCACAACTAAAGTCATTAAGAAAAATATTTGGATGATTTTATTTTTATTTCATTACATTTATCCTTGAATTTATCTAACATGGTTCATAATGTTGACCTAATGTTTTGACAGTTTGAAGTAAAAATGAAGTGATGTCAGAAATATCATTCTCATTCATTTTCTTAATTCTGGTTTATAAGTTTTTTAAAAAAAAATATATATCTGAATTTGTATATACTGCGAGGCATTTGAAACTTTATTAAAAAATTGGTTCTCTTTTACAGTAAATCTTATTAGAAGTCAATAGGTATTTAAACTTTTAATTTGCATATTTTACTCATGTTAGATAAAAAAAAAAAGTTAATTTATAAAATTGCAAACAAAATAAATAATAATCAAATACGATCAAATCATTTTTTATATTTTCAGCTTTAACTTCATAATTAAATAGTTTTTCAATTTAAGGCATACGTAGTTAGATGGTGATTGAAATCAGTGGCTTAACCTGTCACAGATTACAGACGTGCCAATTTTTAATTTTACAGTTTTCTTACTATGTTTAGTTTTATCTTAAATACTAAGCCACAATATTCTTTTTCTTATAAATATGACCTGAATTTGATTAAGAATTTTGGGGGAGTGGTGCCAAATATAGAACATAACGCACTAGTACGTTATGCACGTTATGTACTAAAATGCTATATAAAAATGTTTTCAATGGGCATTTCCTTTTTTGTTCAAATAGGCAATGTGGCAGCTCATGAGGAGACACAAAATCACAAATCAACAAATTAAAATATTTTGGATAAACGAAATTGGAAAATTCAGAAAAACAAACACAAAACAAAATCATATATTGGTTAAATATAAATATGATA